TTGTAGGTCATATTTAAAGAATAATGATTCTTTTCAAAGTGGCTTTCACAAAAAATTCGCATATTTTCCTTGCAGACACAAGGATAACGTGGGAGGCAGCATAAGAAACACCATGCCTCCTTATCTACCAACTCGAAGAAGGAAGACGAAATCTAAAGACTTCAATTGGACATCAAAGAAGGAACAAAAGCAACAAACCCATGTCTCTAAGTGAAGGCACGGGGGGCATGATCTCATAGACAGGCATGGAGGCATGTGCAAATGCTGCCTCTATAAACAAAGTCAATTTAGACATTGTCGCCATATAAACCTGGTGGCCCACCTAAAGTTCCCTACCCAAAATCCTAGGACTCTTTGAAGGCGACTTCAAAAGAAATGAGCTAAAGAGTGTCGGAGGCATGTTGTTGCCAAGGTGCATGCTTCCTAAAGGCCAAAACCTCTAGGGAGGCAAAGGTTTATCTGGGTGGAGAAGAAGAAACAAGGTGCAGGTCCTCAAGAGGCAAATCAAAATGTAGCCTATGCAGTCATGTCTCAAAAAATGTTTGCCAAGCATGTTTCTCTCAAGTCAAATGACCCAAAGGTAACTAAGGAGCTTAACGTCAGTAGCAAAATAATTAGCCTTGGTGAGTTTATTATTGAACTTCCAAGTTCCATTCCAAATCTCCCTTTTGTTTTTACAAGGAAGCAAGATGCAACCTCTAGTAGCAAAGAGGTAGCAAAGAACAAAGCAAACATGTCCGCCAAAGAGAACAAAGAGAGGGATCATAAAAAAGATGCTGCAACCTTTGTTCCAAGAGGAGGCATGTTGCCGCCAGGTAGAGGCATGTCACCCAAGAGACATTCTACCAACAATATGAAATCTTTGCAAATGCAGAAGGCATTAGATGAAGGCACATATTGGCTACAGAACTTTGATGGTAGTCTACATCTCACAAAAATAAATGGCTTACCTTTTCAACCCTGTTGCCCTTCAGTCTGTAAGTCATGCAATAGATTGAAGTGGAAATAATCTCTTTGCTAAAGTTAGGTTTGGGTGGAGATCAGTTTTAATTTAGTTTCTGTTTTTAATTTTCTACAATTAGTGTGAATAATCTTGCAGTTGAGTGGCTTTAAGGAAGGTTGTGAGATGGCATTGCTTTTAAGACACTTGTGGAAGCATGCTTGATTTATTTCTCCATGTTAGGCAGAAAGGGAATTCATGGAATTGTTTTTTTTTTTTTTGGAGGCTATATTTTTTTCATTTTTGTAGACACGCACTTAGTTGGCTTATTTATCTATGAAACCGTTGTGTTTGTTAGATGATATTCCTTGCTATGCTAAAGAAAACAACAATCTCAAATTTCTACATTCTTGGAGACATCATGCTTCCTTTATAATGGCCACATGATGAGGAGTGCTAGGAACAAAATTTTCAAAAACTTGATTCGACTTCCATGAAGTCATGCAACCAAGTTTTGGGGGCATTGTTTACATCCATTTTTGCAAAAATAAAATAAAATAAAATGGTGTCACGTGTCATCTATGTTGGTAGGCCTTTTATTGGTTGAAAGTTATTGGTGTAAATCTCTCCAGATAATGTTCAGTAGTTATTTCCACAATTGCAACAAAGTCGTTGACTTGTTGCGAATTTCCAAGAGGATAATTGACAACATCAACAGAATTATCAGTTTGTTTTAGATTTCATGTTGCCATTGATTTTTAAGATGCTGCCATAGATTTCCAAGCATGTTGCCAAGGGGTGTTTACTGCTATAAATATGCAGAGAAAAAACAAAGTAAAGGACCAGCCTCTCACACAACTAGCAATTTCTTAGTTTAGATCCAACTTTCTTAAATAGCTTTCATAGTTAAGTCTTTAGCTCTACGCTACCACTAGTTTTAGTTCTAGTTTTTGTTATGTCATTGTGAACATCTCTACTTGATGTATTTAGTTTTTTGTAATTCAATTTATTGCACTTTTTCCCAAAATTCATCTTCCTAGTTTCTTTCAAGTTTAGTTTTATGCTTCAGTTTTTATTTCATTTTCTACGTTTTCTACGTTTTCATGCTTTCGCAGCAGCATCATGCTTCCTTTCTACAATTTAGTTTTCCTGCCATGCACTCTCTTTTTTCTCTTTTCCTTTATTTTTCTTTTTTATTTCGATCAACAAACTAATATTTTGCCCCTAGTCATGGGAAATCCCTAATGTTCTTCTAGGGCAATTATTTATGAACTTTTGTGCAAGAATGCACCCCCATTTCTGTGACAATCGTCTGACCAGGATGCATCTCATAATTTATTTAACTGGTGCTCTTCTATCGACTCGCAGCCAAGTTCCACGCTTGAAAGTAGTAAGGGTCACTGGGAATCCTTCTTTCTCACTTTGACCAAAGTGAGTGGCACACTTTCGAAGTCTTATCTGTCACGCGGCCAGGGGAGATTTTGGAGACAACAATGTCTATCTGTCTTATTTTCTAAAGTTTAAGAGGAAAATATTCTAAAACTATATCGTTTTAATAAACTCTCATTAAAAAAAATTAAAATACTTTATTTTTAAAAGCACCAATGAGCATTAACCCTTTACAATATTATATTATAGTGTAATTATATTATTTTTATATATATTATCCCTTCTAAGTACTTTAAGATTTAAAGTTCAAATTTTAGAGTTAATACCTAAAAAACTAATGTTAAATATTATAAATTTATAATATTATGTGGTATAATGTATGTAAACAATCTTATTTGAAAACATACGCTGCCATCGATAACGAGCTTAAGTAACATCGCCAGATTGATTCATTTCACTGTGGTTTCACGGCTTTGACAACTGTTAAAGAGGTATATTTAGCAACTTGATTTCTTCTTTGAGAAAGAACAAAACTGCCATGTTACCTCTATATGATGGTTAGTGAAATTCTCAGCAGTCTATGTTTTGCTCGTTTGTGTATTATTCCTGTGATTGTGATGCTTGTTTGTGGGTTCTCTACCCCTAAAAACTGGAACAAATTTCCACATCAAAATATTTGGTAAAGGATTCAAGTAGTTTTAATTTTCACAATGGATGTTGGAGGTTATAAGTGAGTTTCAACTCATCACAAAACCAATTTCATTGAATTTCTTCAACGATGATGATCAGGGTGAGCATTTTCTGATGGCAAATGTTGGCGATTCTTGAGCTGTTCTGGCAACAACCTCTGATGATGGCAGCTTAGTACCACTTCAACTTACGATTGATTTCAAGCCTAATATACCTAGTTAGCTCTCTTGCTTCCTCTGTGAATCCCAGTGTGCATTCGTTGGATTGTGTATATATACACCAATATGTTTCGTGTTTATGTTAATGTAACAGAAGAAGCTGAGAGAATAACACAGTCCAAAGGGAGAGTGTTCTGTTTAAGAGATGAACCAGGACTCTACAGGGTCTGGATGCCAAATGCAGAGACACTAGGAGTAGCAATATCAAGAGCCTTTGGAGATTACTGCGTAAAAGACTTTGGACTCATTTCTATGCCTGATGTTACCCAAAGAAACATAACCAACAAATATCAGTTTGTCATTCTAGCTATAGATGGGGTATGCAATGTCTTCAATTTTCCTTAATTTGTGATGATTTTACACACTTCTGGATGAAAATTCGAACCAGAAAACTCCCAAGGTCTTGTTGACATTATCATCTAAGAGATTGGTGGAATTTGCTAGTCATCCCTGGAAATATAAGAGACAAGAATTGCAACGGATGACATGTCAGCTATCTGCCTCTTCTTCCACCCAGAGCCATTTAAGCACCCCAACCCATCATCAAGGTCTCTAAAGGAGGCCACCATGAGCAAAGCACGATAACAGGGCTGGTTTTCCACATATATACATACAACTTTCACTTCAAATGGTGCTGTTGTAATTGTTGTATACACATATATGAACTGATAGTTTGTGGGTTTATCCAAAAGGAAAAAGTGCAATAAAATCTCATTTTGTTTAAAGCAGATGCTCTTCAATATATGAAAAAAATGTAATTGACATGTATATTACTGAAATCAGATATGTAGCCTTGTAAAGTTATAATAATCTTCAAAATGGCCTGCTTTGTTATTGGATATGTTGAGGCTAATGAGTCAATTTTTTGGATTTATTTATGAATCAAAAGTGTTATTAATAAAGAGAGTACAAGGGCACATTTATGTTATATGATTTGGGGACAAAATTAAAATCCCATATAAATTCTACCATAGCGATATTTTAGTACACCCTAACAAAACCATAAATATGCAGGGAAATACCTTCTCTCGCAAGAACAAGAAAAAAATGTTATGTTATTTTTAAAGTAAATGAATGAAAATAGAGTTTGTAATAATATGTTTAGTTTAAAAGAAGGGAATGAATGAAAATTCTTTATTTAGTTAGTAAAAAATTGAGAGGGAAGGAAGTGGAGTCCTTCACTTTTTACTTGAATTCCTTCACTTATGCAAATGAGGGGAGAGAAGGGAAAGGAAGAAAAATGGAAGGATGCTGTTTCCTCCTAATACACTTCCTTCTGTTTATTTATTTATTTATTTAAATCAAATATACTATAAAAGTTTGTGAAATAAGTTTTTTTATTTCTTTTGGTTTAGTTCTCAAGGTGTTATTGGGTTAAGTTGCCTCATTCTAAAAACCAATGCCTCCCTAATCTGCTCAATAACAGATCATTTACACCAAATTTAGGAAATTTATAAAAAAATATTTTTTTCTTAACGTTTTAAGGAATTGAACTTTAATTAATAAAATAAAAAAACAAATATTTTTACTAACTAAATCACAATTCTTGATTTTATGTCAGAGTTTGTGAAAAAATATAATTTCCCCCTTAAAGGGAACGTGATTTAGTTTTTTTTTTTTTAATTTCTATTTTGCAATTTCAGTTGCCATCAAAACTAAAAAAAAAAAAGTTGCGCAGCAGCCAGCCGGTGATATTTGACTGTTCCAGCCAATTGACAAAAGCACCCCTCCCATTTTATCAATTTCCAAACAACCCCACTCATAGGTTCCTGCATCACTATCTCCATCCTCCGTCGGCGGCGTATTCTCCGCTCCGCCATCCTCACATGTCCAATTCTCTACTGCTTCCCCTCCATTTGCGGCCAATACCTCATTTCCCATCCGCGCTCGTGCGCGTCGGAGACAAGAATCCCTGCGCTGTACCTTTCTCAACTCTAAACCTTACTTCAACGTGCGCTTCCAGCAACCGCCGGCCACTTCTTCCGATCATGTCTTCGGAATCTCTTTCTTCGTTGACTAATTCTTATCTGAATCAACTCGACGACTTGGCTGATTTCGAAAAGATTCTCTCTCCCGACGGACGCATCTCTATCTGCGGCTTCGGTTCTCTCCTCTCCGGTGCGCACAAATATTGATGGTCTATCATCGTCTATGATCATGAAGTTGATCGTCTTTTGTACTTTTGATACCAGAGAGGAGCGCCAAAAGTACTTTCCCGGATCTGATAAATTTCAGAGTTGCGAGATTGAATGGATTCCGGCGTGTATTTGCACATGTTGCTCCGATTTTCTTCGAGCGTGGAATCGCTAATCCTGAAACCAAGGTGTGCATACGCAATTCTAATATTTTGCTTCTTATCTGTTTGGTTTTCAAATTCCTAGAAAATTTAGGCAAAGAAGCATTATCTGGTAAAGACACTAAAAAAATTTGTCCTAGAGGCAAGGAAGTTGGCTTTAAAGCAATTCATTTTTATGTTGATGACGATGATTTTCAGGAGATTTCAAGCTTGAGTGTGGAGCCTTGTGAGGGAGAAACCCTCATTGTCACTGTCTTTGAGATTCAAAAATCAGAGGTATTGATAATTGATTATTCCTTTGGTTGCTGTTGCTTCACTTCTGAATTTGATTCTTTTCTGAATGAGAAAAAGACCCAGAAATGGGATTTACTCATTTGAAGTTTTAACTTAAATCTGTTACTTACTCCATGAAGTCAGATACCAGCTTTCATGGAGAGAGAACTCGAGTTCCGCTTTCTAGCTGTAAGTTGCTATCAACGTTACCAGACTATCCATTTGATTGTTTTGTTGTTGTCATGGACTGACTTATTCTTTTACAGGTCCTGCCTGAAACGCTTGAAGGAGAACCCTTTGGCCATCCTGCAGTATGTGCTTTTATCATTATTATTAATGGGTTGTACTTTGATCTCTTTTTGGTTCTGTTATGGTCATGGTTAGGGTTTCAACTTCTAAAGATTTATACCATATTGGAATTTTCAATGCAGGTGCTTTGTGCTCGGTATAGTGATGAAGAATTTTTCCAGATCAGATGCAAAGGTAACTTTTACTAAGATTCTCATTGGTAATTGTGGAGGATACCCAAGATTACAAGGGAAAGGATAATGTTAGTTCTCGATATTGCTTTATATATTTCCTAGAAGAAGCTTTGCTTGACAAGATACTACCGGATTAAGGTTTCTTGAGCCAATGAAGAACTGTGCCCCATTACAGCTTTAAACACATATTGAGCCAAAGTGCAATGTTATGAGACCTGAAAACGAGTTTCCTTGTCATCTTGTGTTCATACATAGGACATGTATCATCATATCTCCTAGCACATACCAAGCCACTTCAGAGACAAAAGAATGAGAGTCTAGACTTCACCCTAGCTAGACATGGATAGATCTTCACAAAGAACAGAACAATTTGATAAATTGAAGGATTTATTCTTGTCAGATTCTCATACCAAATTTCCTTGCTATTCCTTCTACACGAGGTTTAAGTAGGGAATAGCATTTGAATTTCTAGGTCTCCTCATTGAACTCCAAAATTTAATCTGTTGGTTTTCCATTTTTTTTTCCCTCTTGGCAGGAAGCAAAGAAATATATTTTCAGCTCTATGGACGATACAACATTGATAAGATTTGGCGAGATGATGTCTTACCATGCCGTGTCTATCTTAGGCACTGGTATGTTCATTTAATACAAAGTGTGCTGCTCCTCATGTCAATTTTTAACTCTTTTTAAGTTTCTACCAGGGTAACATTCTTGAAAAATCATCATGTCCTGCAGTTTCCGTATTTCTACATTCTTATTTGCACACAGAGATGCATAGTAAACCATCCAACAAGACTATTAACTCAACTTGCCTTCATAGCTAGTGAATTAATTGTTTGTAGTTCATATCACTTTCTCTGTGCCTAAGGCATGCTGTTTTGGATTCCCTGTAGTGTGTTGGCAGCTAAGAACCTTGGTGATGTTGCATACAACAACTTTCTGGATCACACTTACCTTGGAGATCGTAAGACCACCATCCGTACATATTTAGCTACAACAGGTTCAGGCATCACGGAAGAGGAGCCACCTGAATCCCTCAAGACTCGCTATGGTGGTTGACATAAACAAATGGTCAGATATGGTGGTTGACCCATTTCACTCTTCGGCATTCGGCATTCTCTTCTCATTTCCCTTTTATTGGCTGGTTACTGATACGCTGAGTGAAACTTTTGTAAACAATATTAAAGAATATCAGTTGTTCCCATTTTATTCTAACTCTGTCGAATATGAAATGTGCTATTCTTTTGGTATAATGAGAGCAACATCGAATGCCATCTTGGCGAGATCTGCTTACATCACGGTAACCCCTTGTGTTACGGGTTGGTAGCCTGTCCTCAGTGGCGAGGCTTCCACAAATTAACGAGCCGACACCTAGGACCAGCTTGCCTTGCTTAATTAATTGTATTCGAAGGGATTTCCGAAGGTAATACGGCTTTTGTTACGCGTTGGTAGCCTGTCCTCATTGGCGAGGCTCCCAAAACTTAACGAGCCAACACCTAGCACCAGCTCGCCTTGCTTAATTGTGTTCCAAGGGCTCTGGCACGACCCGCCATCACTTTCGATCACTGATGAGTCATCCACACCCGACCTGCATCCTTTCTTGGTACTGGCCGGTTAGAATGTCAGTTGCGCCCATCTTATTCAGACCTACGCCCCGTACAAGAAATAAGCAAAAACTTACTTTGAACCCCTCACCTTATTAAATTTGAAGGTTTTAGCCACTTATCTTATATTATGACACTTTAAATTCTTTACCTTACTAAATTTGTAAGTTTTAACCCATTACCTATTAAAATTGAAGAAAATAACCCTCATTTTATACTGGCTATTAACTAAAAGTAAATTTTTATCAATTAATAGTTGAGTTAACAAAATTAACAAAATATTATAAAATTAATTCTGCTATATTTGTTAACTAAAAGAAGATTTTTGTTAGCTAACAATCAGTTAATAAAATCAACTAATATAATCAATAATCAACTAACAGAACTAATAAAATGTTATAAAATGAAGACTATTTTTTTCAATTTTAATAAGTAAAGGGTTAAAAATATTATAATATAAAATAAAATGTTAAAACCTACAAATCTAATGAGATAAAAGATTAAAAATATCAAAATATAAAATAAAAAGTTAAAACCTTCAAACTTATAAAATAAAAAGTTAAAAATATCAAAATTTAAAATAAAAAGCTAAAACCTTCAAACTTATAAGGTGAGGAGTTCAAAGTAAGCTTTTGCCCAAAAAATAATTCAACTTGGGTTGATAGCCTCATCTCGCCAGCCATGCTTCCAAGAATTGAAAGATGGTGTTGACACCACCAGCCATCACATCTAGATCATCGACGGCTTATTTGTGTCTCTGACACGACGAATACAACCCAATGAGTGCATGCATTCTTTATTTATAGCTCGTCTCAACCCATTCATCTCACTTGGTACCGATGTGGATTGAAACCTCCTGTGCCCTAAAGTTACCACCTGGGAGAAATATATATTTAAATAAGAAACTTTCTTTCTTTGAACCTGAGCTAAAACGACGAACGCTTCTTTCACAAATTAGCAAAATGCAAAAGAGATCTTTCACAATGTTGCAAAATTTGTTTGTAACGAGTACCAGACTACTAGTAAAAGCAGGGAATATTTTTCACATTCTTAAGCAAGCAATCCGTCTCGTTAACACCCCACCACTCATTGATATTGTTTTCTCCACTTCCAAAAGAGAGCGGCCATAAGCAATAATTTTCTCTATATACGATCCAGATGGAATAAATGCGATAATTTCAATTTGTTTTACTTTGATATTCAATCATGTGACAACACTTCACTACAGCTACAAGCTTCACCCTTGTCTAGTTCCCTTAATAACAATTCCATCATTTTCTTATACATTGGCATATAATGATGAATCATTGTTCTTCAAAGTCGAATCTTACTGTACAGTTCTTTAGGTGTCTTGTATATACCTACATGTTCTTCATAGGGGAGTGCGTTAGGATCTAGATTAGTGGCTTCAGTTGAAGGTCCAGAAACCATATGCATGATTCTCCCCAAGGGATAGAACCGGAGGTTCTCTGAGACATCCAAGGAATAGATGGGGTTTTCGCTTCCTGCATCAGCCAGAACTTTCTCCTCCTCGGTTACTTATTTTGCCGCTGTTGCTTCTTCTGCCTGGGATTGGAAATCAACTTCCCTCATCTTTGCAGGTAATGTGGGACTCATTTGAGGTGTTTTGGCATGTTTGATTCCCGAAAATATAACATGACATAATGTTTTGTTCATATCAACATTTTTTAAGTTATCTTCTCCACGTTATAAAAAAATATAAAAAATACCATGTGAACAGAGTTAACAACTCAAATTGACGAAAGGATCAAAATTGTATAGTTCTTAGAGTTGAGGGATAAAAAAATACAAAAAATAATTGAGGAACCAAACAAGTGCAACTCTATAAAGTTGAAGGATCAAAATTAACATTTAATAAAAAAATATCTTTCACGATGTTGCAAAATTTGTTTGTAATCAATACTAGACTACTAGTAAAAGTAGAGAGTTAACACCTCACTACTCGTTGATATTGTTGACAAAACCCTTAAATTCATCTCTCAAAGAGAGGGTAAAAGACAAATTCACCCCTAAAAAAACTAATGAAAAATTATACTTTTAAATTATAAATCAATACAAATCATCCATCTTTTAATGTGTGACATCAAAATTTTGTTTGGCACTTAAGTATGTTTTAACGAAAAATTGACATCATACGTTAAAAAATAGGTGATTTATCTTAATTTATAAGTTAAAGGTGCATTTTGTCCCTATATTTTTTTGAGGGATGAATCTATCCCTACCCACCTATTTGAGGGGTGGATTAAGGGTTTTGCCGATATTATTTTCTCCACTTCCAAAAGAAAGCAGCCATAAGCAATAATTTTCTATGTTTTCAACAGAAATGTTATACGATCCAGATGGAACAAATGCAATAATTTCTTTTACCTTATATTCAATCCTATGATAGCACTTCATTACAGCTACAAGCTTCACCCTTTTCTAGTTCCCTTAATAACAATTCCATCATTTTCTTGTACATTGGCATATAATGATCATTAAACATTTAACCAAGATGATGCTGTGACCTGATAACAACAATTGGAAGAGGAGCCATTACAATCCCTCAAGACCAGCTATGGTGGTTGACATAAATAGTAAGATATGGTGGTTGACCCATTTCACTCTTCGGCATTCTTCTCTCATTTCTGAAACGCTAAGGGAACCTCACACTGAGTGAAACTCTTGTGAACAGTATTGGGAACAATATTAAAGAATGTCAGTTGTTATAGAAAATGAAATGTCTTACTTTTGGTATAGTAAGGGCAAGCATCGTCTGCTATTTTGGAAGAGAATCTAGTTACAAAACTAGCCCCCTCCAAGAAATAATGGCAGGCATCGTATGCTATTTTGGAAGGGTTTAATTTAATAAATAGTCTAAAAACTTTTATATTTTTTTTTGTCTATTATCTTTAAATACTTTCATATTCATTTATCATCTTTCACTTTTATTTTAATTTAGTCTAATATGTTAATTTTCTATTAATAGTTTCACTTCATTTGATTAAATTGACCTTCAACGATATTTTTTAGGTTAAAACCCTTTTTTGGTCCCTGAACTATTGTACGGACCCCCGATTTGGTCCCTGAACTAAAAAATCCCTGATTTGGTCCATACTGTTTACCATTTTTATCCCGATTTGGTCCTTCCGTTAAAATCTCACCGTTATCTCAGACAATTTAATGACATGGCAAACTTTGAGACACATCAGTTGTATAAATGAATAAATAATGACATGGCCGTGACATGTCATCCCAACCCAACAAAAGTGGGACCCACCAAAATTACGAATTTGCCATCATCTTCTTCCTCCGGCAAACAAACCCAGCACCAAACAAAACCAGCACCTGGGTTGAATCGAACCCAACAACGCCCTTTTTTTCCTTCCTCTTCCTTGCCTTGCTTTCTTCATCATCATCAAACACATCATCATCATCA